ATAAAAAAAATATACACTAATTCAGGAATTTGTATATTGAGGGATACAGTAATTGAACAAATGGGTATCAGGAATGTGTCGTAACGGAACATTTTATTGTGTGTACAAGGTAAATCGATACAGAAGGCGAGAACTGCATGTAGCTCACGCTTACATCGGCAAACTGGGGTACAATACACGTAGGTCATCATATAGGACGTGGTTTACATGTTATATGGAACGATGGGCATGGCTTGTCAGTCACAACTGACTTAGCATGTGAGCGTTTGTAATGAAGGGGGTAGTACGTGCTTGGTCATATACATATGTTAAATCACACAAGTTAATATATATACCGTACCAGACAAGTTCAAGATCAGACAAGCTAATGACGTGTTTTGCTACGTCATATATCAGCAGATTTTATTCTTACAATGTTGTATTAAATAAATTTCTAGAATTTTTTACAGATAGTTCTTAAGGAACAGGCAAATATTCCTTGCCAATGTTTTCTAACCATTAACAGTCATCCAAGAGGTGTGCATGTGTCTGTTCTAATGAACGAAAATAAAACATAAAAATTAAAATAGGAAAATGGCAATATATAGAACAAAGCTATACCGATTGTCTGGTACGCCATGTTGGGCGTATGTAACACATGTGACAATTGTTTGATCGTCTATAGAAGAAGATGGTGATCAACAGAAGACAATGTGAAGTTAGTCATCCATACAGAAAATGGTAAAGATGATAAAAAAATCAACAGAAGGTGATTAGCATTGAAAAATATGAGGTTTAAACCGTTTCGTACATATAACCATTGCTCCTCTAAAATTATAAATTAAGGGGTTTTAATCACCCTCAAAAATTGATATTAGCAACATAGCACTACCTTAAATTTTACTTAAGTATGTAATACGTATGCAAAACTATGCTACATACTTATGTGACTATGCGACTGATATCGGTCATCACAAGTTGTACTCAATGCCATGTAATTGCCTCTGACAAGTCCTATTTTTTGCTATATATACCACTCTATTGCTACTGACAGTCTATGTTTGTATGTATCATAACTTGTTAAAATTGAACACAGTTTCCTGTGGCTTCTGTATGCCCGTTATCCTAGCCTGTCACGACTACATTCTATTTCAGGTAATGCTAACTATATCGGTGTCAGCATGTCCAGGTAGAAGATCAATTATGTCCATGATTCGGTCAAAGCGTACACTGATATTTCACTCATTTGTCTACCCCTTTACAAATGGTAGCAGTGTCTGATTTATCTGTCAATACTAATTAGGGTATAGACAAACTAACCTCATTTTAACCTTACAACGACTTTATAGCTAAACTAAACTAAGCTAACACAACTTGAGTACCAAATTCGTTCCGACCTAACTAGAGTGAGCTGATAACTACTAGTATTCAAACTTGACTGAACTTTTAACTAGAACACATTAAGAGGGAAAACAATTCAGACTTAACTGAAACTAATTCAGACTCTCTTGCTCTACTTTAACCCTTTCACCACTGTAGATCATAATATACTCATCCAGATCATGCATGGAAGTGTTTGCTAAAGTTACATAGGGGTGAAAGGGTTGAGATGAAAGTCATTCAGACCCAACAAGGACTCAATCTCTACATCAGGATGAACTATTTCAGCAAGGACTATTTCAGGATGAGACTCATTCAGACCTCTTTAGCTCTACTCTAAGATGAAACTCATTCAGACCCAACAAGGACTCAATTTCTACGTTTTGCTGAACTTATTCATACCCAGCAAGGACTACTTCAGGATGAGACTCATTCAGACCTCCCTAGTTCTACCTCAGAATAAAAATCCTTTAGACTTAGCTAGAACGACATTCCTGAGCTGGCCTTTCAATAAGGACAGTGGAATCACATGGTTAACATTAACGATATCGGTGTCAGTATGTTCAGTTAGGTGGTCAAATTAACATCAACTAGTCACCCACTTCTCATTGATTCTTTTCCGCTTTAGCTGTGAATGATGTTCCTGTCGACCCTTGTGTGTATCTTTGCGTGTTTGGGACGTCGATATGAATATATGTGTATGGTATTTCTTTTATAAATTGTTAACGTTATATTATAATACAACGACTGGCGTAGAACGTTTTTTCATATTCCTCCACACATCCTCCTTGGGGAGGGGGAGAACGTTATCATTCCTTTCCTTGAAGGTATGACAAAAAAGAGACCCTTGGCAAATCCTGAGTTTGGATACTCAAACATCTTACTCCTCGGGGTTGGCTTTCTTTGACATGTCCTCAATATAGGGAAACATACTATAATTACAATTACCGTGCAAGCCTCGGGCCTCGGGTTGGCTTTCTGCTGTAATACTCCCAAGGAGGGAAAATTTCTATAACCTATATACATAGACTCACAGAGCAGTCTATTTTTAGCTTTGTGTATACTTGTACACCACTGATTTCACGTTTGCCACTCTGGGTAAATTCCAGTGTGGAAATATTGTACCAAAATAGTTTATTGAGACATTTCAACGAAAATAAACCAGGAACCCGACATTGAATTCGTTATAACTAATCAAAGATGGAATCTACTTGTGTGTATAATTGATCTAGAACTGAGTTTTTAACAGTTGACCTACTTTATGAAAAAAATCCTCAACAGAATGATATATTGATTATATTCCACCTAGCCATGACAGGATCGAAATGTAGATCGTGATAGTGATGCGGACTATAACAGATATATACCTATGCATATAACAGCTGTTAGACATGGCGTACCTAATATACGTAATCCTGTGTTTGATAACAGAGTTATAGACATGTATAAGAAGCTTACCAATTAAGCATTACTTCAACAAATCTATGTATATATATCAATATATGAGTGAGGCAGTGTAGTAATTCTCAAACCAATCACAATTAATTATATTTCTGCATATTTCTAGAGATTACCTTACCACTGTTTATATTTGTTGATCTTCTTAATGGTATTCCACGAATTCTCTCATCATATACATTGAGTACATTACTATCACCACGGCAACCCTCGGGTTTTGACATTGAAAAATCTGACCGCTCGGGTTGGTTGCGATTTCTGTGTCATATACCCTCAAGGTAGAACATGATCTCAACAATAAAAGATAACGATTTAATTATGGCCGTGTCCTAAATGGACTTAACGATCAAATGGTGCATAGGATATTATGCATCAAAGTAAATTTCAAAATAGGCGCTTCCTTTCTACGTATTTCTAATGAAAGTGCTGGGGGTAAAATTCCAGTTTGGTAATATTGTACACATAGATCGTAAACAGTCTCTAGAACTGAGGAGAGTGGGCTTGCTGACAGTAAAGGGTACAGACTTTTCAGCTAACAATGTTTAAATCGAATTTTCTATTTGAAGCTTTGTTTACTTTGTTCATGTTAATGTATATTAGAAATATAAGCTATTACCTTGAGACTTTTCTACATGTACATGTCTATGTATGTATTTCACTGTGTTTCACTGTTTTGCCTTTAAACTACTTTGTAGTTAAAAATATGTAATTAAAAATTTCGAATTTGAATTTGAATTTGTATTGTGTTATTACAAAGAAAATAAACCAGGAACACATGTCATTAGCTAATCAAATGTGAAATCTACCATTGTATATGATATATAGCTGTGTACATACCTACATATTAAAAAATATTCTAAATTTCCTTAACTGCATTTAACTCAAATTTGGCAGAGCAAACACACTCCATGGCATGTGACTTCAGCTGCTTTGCAAGGCACCTCTTCAATTACTCATTCTGTTTCTGTAAATAGGCTTATCGACCTCTATATTGACCTCATAATAAATATTATGTATAGGGCAGTGTGGTGATAATTTTTAAAAGTCCTATTTAATCACTTGCACCAGTCATTCTCTGCTAAACTATATGCTATTGTAGTACAAAGTTCGGCTTCTATAATAGTATTACCATCTGTAGTGAAGGATTACATAAGTAGTCTGAACTACATGTTATTCTACTCACACGTTCAGGTAGCGGAATAGTATTACCAGCTGTCGTGATTTATAACAGACAGTCTCTTTAAGGTCAATACGAGCGATCTATATATCTACTTTAAATAGTTCGTTTGTACTAGTTTCACCCGTAGACAAATATTCCGTGTGGATACGTGCTAGAGAGATGCAAGTCCTGGCAGTAACTTTCCAAGTTACGCCAGTAGTAAATTGCTTCACAAGTGTGTTGGAACGTTAATATGATGGCCATTTATTAACAACTTCCGTTTGGTGTCAAGGTGACCTGCTAATCAGCTGCAACCTTTGTATTGCTTCTGGGCTGTACTAGTCACCGACGGCTACTGGATAGACCTTGGACTCGCCTCGTGTGGATCAGTATCATCAGTCATATGCTAGCGAACAACGTGAATTATATTTCGAATAACGGTGACTCAAAGTCGAACAAATTCTAAGTAAGGGACGTCTAGTCATAAAAAAACATGTATTACATACTCATCTATGCTAAAGGCAAAGTCAATGAAGGTTGTACATGTATTATGTTTTCGTGAGTAACCGCATGACGTTCACCGCCCTCATTTCTGAATTTGGGAGACACATCTATCAATGCTTTAAACCCAATACAAAATTTCTACCTCCAGTTTGTCTTTTGTTGCGATATCAGCTGTCTTGCCTAATTACCATGAAGGAGAATTAAGCCCAATTTATCCAATTTGACTTTCAGTGGAATGATTAGTTGCTATCAGCTCTTTGTCAAAACATAGTATTCCAAATACGTTTTGATGAGAGAATTGAAAATAAGAAAATATCTTGACGAAGGCAGATCAATCTATGCGCTAGAATTGTTTCACTTACTTTAAAGGGAGTGCTTCCTTTTTTGCCAGTATGATGCCTATTCAATTCAAATTTAACTCGTATTATGCAGTTTGTTTTTAAAAATTCAATATATGTTCGCCGATATATTCGTGAGAATTACGTATTTACATAATAAAAACAAATACATAGATCTCCATTTCCGAACTTTTATTCCATTGATTCAATCAATAATATCAATCAAATTTTATATACAACGGAATAATTGGTAAGAGTGACATGATGCTATTTATTTACATCACAATGGTTAACAAAATAGTAAGATTGACTTAAAGATATTTATTTACATAACAATGGTTAATTAAATGATAATGTACATGCATATACCTTATCTCTGATCAGTAGTTTGTCGTATTATTACTTCGTCGTTATAAATTCTACAAATAAAAATGGAATGAATTCTTAGAAAAATATGTACAAGAATAACGACACCAATTAATTACGAACAAACATCCTTTTTACATGACTGTGTAAACATATTAACAACAGTATACCATGCAATGCTGTTCCATACGCTTCTATCACTAACCAAAGATATTTACAAAGGTATGAATAGTCGAGAAGTTGTTTCTAAAGTGTAAAATATAATTAAGAATTTCAACTTCAATGTTAAGCATTTTACACGACTAGCATGTAATGCTGTGTAATTTTTTCTCGAACGATGTCTCCTTTTTGGGAATCTGATAAAACTATATGTCTTAATACACAACATTTACAGTCGAGTAGCAGTACCTGCCCCATATGGCAACTCAGTCGTGTGCTTGTTTTTGTAAACAGACCTGCTATGTTGCTAAGTCAGGTCGGTGTGTATTGTAATACACCACAACTGTATTACGATTGATATATAAGTACATTTTTTCCGGGTAGTAACTGTTCATCTTAGGTGTATAAAATACACGGACACACTTGTTACATTGACACATCCTCTTTTATTTCTGTTCCTCTTTATCTTGGCCTCCTTGTCAATTCTTCAGTTGTTTTACTTAACACACTAATCATATATAGTTCAATATACACACTTTCAGGAACAGTCCAACTATTTTTGACCTTGTTCCGATGAACATATTTTATGATTTTTTCTTCTTCTTTTTTTGTTTCGCAATCCTCTTTTGCCTTTTTTCCCTTTTCTTTTCTTTTTCACATAATATGTGATAGTAAAACAATATGCATAATTTATATTATTGCAATATTATTTTTTTGTAATTTTTCGATAACAGTGATGTCCCACTATTTGAAATATCCCATGAACTCGAAGTGTCATAAAATGCACCACTTCCATGAAGAACACCGGTGGTTCGACAGAGTCCGTAGTATGAGATATTTAACAGCATGTTCCATCACCGGCCCCGCCAGCTCAAGCGTCCTGACGTATTGTTTTCTTGACTCTGAAAATATACAAAAGGAAACACACATTAGTAAACGAGATACTATTTCTTGCATTATGCTGCTGTTGTACATATGCTGTAAAGAATTAACCAGGAAACTTAAAGTAGCAAAAGAAATTGAGCCTGATCTATTTAAAAGGACTTGTGTAAGAGAGTAAGAGTTTTCCTGGCAATTTATTTCCAAATCAATCGCAGTTATGATAGCCCTTTATTATCATTGTATCAGTATGTTTATCATGCCAATCATATAAAATCAATCATCGACGAGATTCGTGTACACAATCATTGATATCACATGCATCATATGCATTTGATCATATGCATCATATCAAATCGAGTTGTCTCCCATGAAAACTCTTTCGTGTATGTTGTGCAATACCGAGATGATGTGTGTATGTGTATACATACATTAGGCAGTCTTTGTACATTAGACTTCGCTCGGAGGTAAATGTTCTGGATAAATTGCCTCGAGTAAAATCGTTACATTGAACAGACATAAATATATATACAATGCATGCATGCAGAGTAACGTATCTCCTTATGATGTACAGTAATACAATGATACTTACTTGTGGGTTCCAGTCGTAAGGGTATGGTTGGGAGACCAGTCTATGAGGGGATCTCGGTCACGTGCCAAGGATCCGCCTTCATAGCCTGTCTGTGACTCTCCATAAACAAAACTTCATCTAGGCTTATGCTGTTCCGTGATTTCTGTAAATGTAAAGACAATGAATAAATAACAAAATAAACAATTATAACAACCTTTGGAAATTAATCTCAGTACGGTTTCCCTTTCTCTATGGTGTATTTGGCTATTTTTGTAACGATTATAGCTGTACAGGTAAAGCTAACATTAGGTAAATATAATACACCAGGTGTAATAATAAAGAGCTATTTAACTATGCCTTGAATATATCGTGCACTTTTCATACCAAGTGTGTATCGTACCTTAGCCTTATTGCACTGAAGACCTTTGAAAGTTTTTTTGTATCCGTACCTTAACCTCACTTGTAATAATACATTATTGACTTTCGCGTGCAAAAGTCCAGGTAGAATTGCTAACGTGGATTTCAGACACGTGGATAATCAATAATGTACGTATGGCCTTGCTTTGAGTTGTAGAGTAGAGTCAATGGATCGATACAACATATTAAGATGCATAGTAAATATATATAGTTACAGGGATCAACTTACCTCTACAAGGACGCAGTTATAGTCATTTTCACGGTTGTAACGTTTGTTGGCTATTTTGCAAAATAGCTTTCCAAGGTTCTTAGAATTGTCGACCTATAATTGACAAAATACACAAATATTATTACACCATATATCAAGTCGCCATTTTGTTTGTTTTCTACATCAAACAACTATCATTAAACCCTTATTTTTAACATAAATTTGTATTGTTCAAAAACACTGTTACTCGTGTTGAGGTATATTTCAGACGAACCTCTTTAGCGATCTCCTTATATTAACTTCAAACAACTGTCTTCAATCGACTATCTCGATGTTAATTTAAAACAAATATATAGGCAGTAGTTTCAAGGTATGACAATTTTGCTACTTACCCTCACAATTCTAATGCGATGTTCCCTACAATATGCCTCTAATAGAATTCTCTCGATGCTCGTCATGGCGTCATCAGTGGTCTGCTCAGGGAATACACAGAACGCAAATCTGTCCGACTTCCTGTATGAACGAAAAATTCAACGAGGAAATTACAACAAAATGTTTCAAATTGTCCTTCCTTCTCTGAGTGCATTGTTTGGGTGAATGATAGTGTTTTTGGAAATCTACTGTTATGCATTATGTACTGAGAAGTAAGATGTCATTAGGTAATTGATAAATTAAGGAAATTAATACATTTTTTTCGAACTGTCCTTCCTCTTTTGTCAACATTATTTCCTTTTCCTTTATGAACATTATTTCATTGAATGATAATATTTTTGGAAATTGACTGTTATGCATTATGTATACATTATGTGTATTAAGATGAAATGTTTTTGAACTGTCTTTATTTCTCTTTGTGCGTTATTTCTGTGAATAATAGAGTATTTACTATTATGCAACAAATGGACAAAAAAGAGAAATGATGTGTTAAATGAAATTGGAAGCTTACCCTTGCATTTGTTTGGCACACTGATAACCACCAATGGTTATTCTTCCCTCTTTCACAGCCTGTTGTAAGGTTTCTTTGAATGTAAAACTTATTTTCGCCATGTTTCTGTAAAACATATAACAAATCAAACGATAAAGATTGTAATAGCTTGTTTAATAATTGGTTTAAAACAAATAAAGATTATTTATATATTATTATTACTGTTTATATGAATATATCTTGATTTTTGTTACATCACGTTATCATAGATTATATGAAGAAAGTGTATGATTATATGTCCAATATGCTTATTTATACAATACATCAATATGATAATGTTGCAACAATGATATTGAATAAAACAAGTGCATACAATGTAATACATCTTTCATAAAGCATATACAAAATAGTTATGTTTCCCTTTAGCTTATACGTTTTAGTACCTTAAAATAGTGCATCATAGTAACAGAACTACACACAATGCGTAACTCTGCTGAACTACCTTATAATGATGGTAGGAGAGTAGATGGGGCCTCCGAACGTTATCTACGTATGATAATGACTGTTGATCTGATGCAAGCAAGCCTTGGTTACACGTGTACTGACACAAACTTACCTTTGCTCCGCTGTATTGTTGTTAATATCTGTTAATGTCATATTCACAGTCGACTTTTCTTCTTTTCTCTCAATATTTTTCAGATGTTGGCTTATTTTGACAATCATTCACCACGTTTTGGAAGGAGCCGGTAACGTTCCCGTCTAGGCTTACTAAGCGAGGTGAGTAATGTGTCAGCAAATTCCTTAACCGAGAACTTGAGCGAGTGCCGGGCGGGTCGATAAGTAGATTCGAGCTTTCCGGTTGGCTCAGCGCGAGTTTAAAGGTCAAATTGCATGTTATTATAACAACAAAGGTCGCTAATGGCGGCGAACCGGTTAGGCCACGACGATTGTGCTGCGTTGGCGATTAAGAAAATTGGCTCTTTATAGTTTTACTCAAGTATCCTCTGTTAGATAATGTAAAACTGCATATTTTGAACAAAAACTAGACATACTACACTTAAGTTCTATTGTTTTTACTTAGAATTTGTTCTCTTTAATTTAGGGGTTTCCCCTTATTTCTAAATAAAGATATTTCGTCATGAAAAACCATGGATCTAATAGCAACGAGGTTATTGCACCATCTTCGGGAATAGTGAGAAATCAAGCTACCGGGAACTGGCTGGTGTCGGCCCGTACTAGGTGTAAAGACGTGTTGAAACACATACCTAAGATTGTCCACTGGACAGTAGACATTGTATCACATATGAGGACAAACCTCAATAATAAACATATTATCTGATTTAATAATGTTTGATGATACAACAATGGATAAATAACAGAACTGTTACTGCTTTTGCATGATAATAGTTTTGGTATAGCAAAAAGAAATATGTTTTAAAAATGTGGCTAGTTCCTGCATATTTTTGTGATTATTGTCTTTATTTTATTTGCAAAGTTGCAAAATATAAACTATTCTGATAACAAGAAAACATTGCAAATATATAAGTCAAAAACGTATCCACTAGTGGATTATTATGTCTTCTGCACGTATTAAGCTTTCATCTATCTAGAAGTACCACCTGTTTATATTTGCTACCTGTCTTTAGCAAATGTCTAGATAGCTACTACCATATGTCTCCAACTACAAATCTACATTAGAAATTTATATATGATCTATTATAGAAATCACCTGTCTATAGCAACCACATATCTATAACATTTAAATAAAACCTACCTAAGAAACCACCTGTCTATAGCAACCATATATCAAATACATTTAATAAAACCTATCTAAGAAACCTCCTGTCTATAGCAACCACATATCTATAACATTTGAATAACACCTACATAAGAAACAACCTGTCTATAGCAACCACATATCTAAAACATTTAGATAAAACCTACCTAAGAAACCTCCTGTCTACAGCAACCACATATCGAAATCATCTAAACGAAACCTACCCGAAACCACATGTCTATAACAACCACATATGCATAACATTTAATAAAACCTATCTAAGAACCCTCCTGTCTATAGCAACTACAAATGTATAGCATTTCATAAAACCTACCAAAGAAACCTCCTGTCTGCAGCAACCACATATCTAAAACATTAAGATAAACCCTACCTAAGAAACCACTTGTCTATAGCAACCACAAATCTATGAAATTTAATAAAACCTGACCAAGAAACCTCCTGGCTATAGCAACCACATGTCTTTAACATTTAAATAAAACCTACATAAGAAACAACCTGTCTATAGCAACCTCATATCGAAAACATTAAGATAAATCCTCCCTAAGAAACCCCCTGTCAATAGAAACCACTGCATCTCTAGACACTGACATTAAACCTGCCAAAGAGATCACCTCATTTAATAAACCCTACCTAAGAAACCACTTGTCTATAGCAACCACAAATCTATGAAATTTAATAAACCCTGCCCAAGAAACCTCCTGGCTATAGCAACCACATATCTTTAACATTTAAATAAAACCTACATAAGAACCCACCTGTCTATAGCAATCACGTATGTATAACATTTAATAAACACTACCGAAGAAAACACCTGTCTTTAGCAACCACATATCTGTAACATTTGAATAACACCTACCTAAGAAACCTCCTGTCTATAGCAACCACATATCGAAAACATTTAAATTAAATCTACCTAAGAAACCACCTATCTATAGCAACCACATATCGAAAACATTTAGATAAAACCTACCTAAGAAACCACCTGTCTATAGCAACCACATATCTAAAACATTTGAATAAAACCTACCTAAGAAACCACTTGTCTATAGCAACCACATATCTAAAACATTTAGATAAAACCTACCTAAGAAACCACCTGTCTATAGCAACTACAAATGTATAACATTTCATAAAACCTACCAAAGAAACCTCCTGTCTGCAGCAACCACATATCGAAATCATCTAAACGAAACCTACCCGAAACCACCTGTCTATAACAACCACATATGTATAACATTTAATAAACCCTACCTAAGAAACCACCTGTCTAACAATCACATATGTATAACATTTAATAACCCTACCTAAGAGACCACCTGTCTATAGCAACCACATATCTATGAAATTTAATAAAACCTGCCCAAGAAACCTCCTGTCTATAGCAACCACATATCTTTAACATTTAAATAAAACCTACATAAGAAACCACCTGTCTATAGCAATCACATATGTATAACATTTAATAAACCCTACCTAAGAAACCACCTGTCTATAGCAACCACATATCTGTGAAATTTAATAAAAACCTGCCTAAGAAACCTCCTGTCTATAGCAACCACATATCTGTAACATTTGAATAACACCTACCTAAGAAACCACCTGTCTATAGCAACCACATATCTAAAACATTTAAATTAACCCTACCTAAGAAACCACCTGTCTATAGCAACCACATATCTGTGAAATTTAATAAAACCTGCCCAAGAAACCTCCTGTCTATAGCAACCACATATCTTTAACATTTAAATAAAACCTACATAAGAAACCACCTGTCTATAGCAATCACATATGTATAACATTTAATAAACCCTACCTAAGAAACCACCTGTCTATAGCAACCACATATCTGTGAAATTTAATAAAAACCTGCCTAAGAAACCTCCTGTCTATAGCAACCACATATCTGTAACATTTGAATAACACCTACCTAAGAAACCACCTGTCTATAGCAACCACATATCTAAAACATTTAAATTAAATCTACCTAAGAAACCACCTGTCTATAGCAACCACATATCTGTGAAATTTAATAAAAACCTGCCTAAGAAACCTCCTGTCTATAGCAACCACATATCTGTAACATTTGAATAACACCTACCTAAGAAACCACCTGTCTATAGCAACCACATTTCTAAAACATTTAAATTAAATCTACCTAAGAAACCACCTGTCTATAACAACCACATATGTATAACATTTAATAAACCCTATCTAAGAAACCACCTGTCAATAGCAATCACATGTTTGTGACATTTAATAAAACCTGCCTAAGAAACCTCCTGTCTATAACAACCGCATATCTATAACATTTAATAAAACCTACCTAAGAAACCACCTGTCAATAGAAACCACTGCATCTCTAGACACTGACATTAAACCTGCCAAAGAGATCACCTGTTTATAGCCATCGACTGTCTGCAGAAATGAACAAATGCAACTCACATGTACAATATCTATTGTTATTTAAGATAAAAATTTCAATGTACCAAAATAATATATATACTATATAGTGCTTGTATCTTCTGAAGTAGCAGCCAAATACATATCTAAAAAAAAAAGAGGAAGAATTTTCATTTTAATTTTCAGTTATTATATCTTAATATACAATGGAATTAGACAACAGGCAACGCCTATATAAATCCAATACCAAGGCCGTATGTTTTACCTGAATCAGATGTACATTGTGTAGACAAGTGCAATGCAATAATAGCTTTAGTTATATTTGTTGGTGTGAAACTAACATAATCGTACATTGCTATTGTTAGTAAAACACTAATTATCTTGCACACATTCAAGCCTATGAAATAAAAAGTTCAAGTAGATTGATATTTCAGATGCATTAGTTAAACTTTGAACCTTATTTATATATATCTATTGACTTCAGGTCTTAAATTACAGTTTCCAGATGTTAAAATGATAGATGTATATAACCAACTTTTTTTATAATAATAATATACAATAATAATAATGATATAAAACATTTATATAGCGCTCTACATAATTTGTAAAAATTACTCTAAAGCGCTTTACAACATATGGATAATAACATTAATTATAATTGTTAAACAAAAAGGCTTACAATCACCATTATACATTAAGCAAGAAGATATTCATCTCAGTGTGCATATAAATGAATAAATAAAGGGTGGTATGTACAAGATGTCTGCAAAGAGCCTAATATACAGACTTTTTTTTTTTTATTAAATATTAAATTTTCTGGGGTAACAGTACCTAAATAATGACCAAATAACTAGCATTGAACTTTTTTGAACTTATCATGTAATTTGCAATTGCTTGTATCAGCTCTAGAATGTTCCATGTATTCCTGCCATGGATTTGACACTGCTAGTATCAGCTCTAGGAAGTTTCATGTATTCCTGCAAAATCGAAGGCTCAGTGTGCACCACCTTGTGGATGACACGAGAAGACTAGCTTGATCATTTGATGTAAAACAAAAGAATATCGCGGTCGCGTAACGGTAAAACTTGATGGCTTTGACGTCGGATACTGCTCCTGTAGTTAGCTGTAATCTACAAAGGACATGTATCAGCCTAGTGATTTGTCAGGTTGTTTGACCTTACACCAATCAAAAAGCTAGCAGCGTGCCTTCAATTTTTGCAATGACATATTACAGGGGTGCAGAGAGAGAAAAGTGAGCGTAACCCCTGGATATCGAGGATGCGCTCAATTAGCTCTTCAGCGGCATCCCTGGAATATGTCATAGCAAGACTGAAGGCACGGAGATAGATATTTGATTGATCTCAGGTAAAGAAAACTGACTAATCGCCAGGCTAATAACTGTCCTTTAAAGATAATAGAGAACGACACCCGACTTTGAAGCAAATCCACTATACCGTTATGGGGCCGCAAGATTCTTTTGGTGTACTTCGATTTTGTCATGACATAATCCAAGGGTGCAGAAAGCGCAAGTGAGCGTTACCCCTGGAGTATCGAGGATGCCCCTTGCCATGCAATCTAAAAATGGCTATTTCTGTATGAATTCTTGCATTATGAATCTAAATTGTTGATACTTTTTGTTATTAATGTAGG